GCAGAGAGACAAAAAACACAATTTCTTAAACTCATTGTGTTCTTTGTAAGCACCAGAGGCGGAAGAGAAGATAAGATGTGCAGTGTACGTTATGGAACCATACGTGCTTTGCAGTCCACAATACCTTTCTCCTTTAACAGCAGAGGGAAAGTTACATGCAGGCCTGAATGCTTCTGGAGATAAAGCTTCCCTCGTTCTGTAGAAGGTGCTTTTGGAGTTATCTTGGTGGAAATTGCTGAGCCTGAAAAGCAGTGCTCCTATACATTCTGCTAATAGAGTTCTGTTATCAATTGTTCCATAGCCATTCAGCAGAAGCCTGGACAAAAACCTTATGGTCTTATGGTCTAGTCTGAAGTAATGGGCACAAAAATGTTTACAGAGCCATGAGTACAAGCTTCAACTGATGCATGTTCTGCCCATGGTTAGCAAGATTAGCCAAGCTAGCACAAAGTTAACTAAACTGCCTAGCCTGTTAACATTTCACTCATGATGTAATTTCACATTAAATGTAATTGTTGTTATATTTAGTATGGCAAGTTATTTTTCTTATGGGACAATTTTTTCTTGGTTTAAATAATTATTTTAAGGTAAAAGTGTTAGCAGTAATTCCTCCTACTCAAGTATATTAATGGGTTTGTGGGTTTCTTTGGTCACTTTTTTTCTCATAACACTCTGTTTGGAGTGAGTCTCTGAAAAAACTCCGTTTGGAGGGTCATATAACCCTAACACTTCACCCTACCCTCTATCTCAACAACAGTCGGGACACCCTACCCCTAGACATGAACATGCAAAATGGAGGGGTAGGGGCGACGGGTGAAATAGGACTGGGCCTTGATGTTAAAGCGTAATACCACAGATTCTTCAATTTTCGTGCATTTTTTGTGCAATTTTTGCATCTGCAGTTTGTGCACCCCTGGTCAAATTCCATGTTTTGTTGATTTTCTAAGTGTAAATAAGTTAACAGTAACATATCCTCTACAACACACTTGTCACATTTTAATGCACATTTACTGTTTATTTACTGAACTGGCCTGTGCCAAAGTTACTGTACATTTTCATGCTTTATTCAACCAACAAAACATGATGTTTGACCAGGTTTGTTCAAACATTTTCATGTGAAAATATCTGCTTTTTTTTGTTTGTAAAAAAGCATCACAGTAACAGTATTTGGTTGCCTCTGCTGAGTTGAGTAGACCAACTAGCTGTACAGTAACACATGACCGTCACATATATGTACAGGAAAAATGGAGGGATGATTATGTATGTAAAGAGAGAACATTCGATCATATAACGGAAGAGAGGAAGCATAAGAGGATAATGTTTCTCCTCCAGTGTTTATTTTAGTAAAGCTCTCAGTGTCAGCAATACAGCACAGCACTATAACTGGAATTAGAGAAGGAAAAGAGGAGAGAGAGAGAGAGAGAGAGAGAGAGAGAGAAAGGCAGCCAGAGAGCAAGAAAGAGAGGCAGAAGAGAGTTAAGGAGTGAGAAAGAAAGAGAAAGGGAAAAAATAAAAAGAGGAGCAAGGACAAAAGATGAAAAAGAGAGAGAAACAAGAGAATGATGGAGTGAAGATAGAAAAACAGGATTGAGAGAAACAGAGACAGAAGGGAATGAGAGAGAAAGAGGGAGAAGAGAGAGAGTCAAACAGCGAAGTCAGGGACGAAAAAATGGAGAATGAGAAACACAAATAGAGAGAGAAAAAGAGAGAAGGGGAGAGAGAGAAACAGTGAGAAAAGGAAAGCGAGAGAGAGAGAAAGAAAAAGAGAGAGGGAGCATATCAGTACAGCAGAATGTAACACTGAGAGTGAGACTCTAACAGGGGAGATTTCTATTAGATTTCATTTACACAGAAGAACACGATCAAATAAAGACTCAGCGCTCATCGTATTCATTCTTAGACTACTGTAACCAGTTCAAAGATAAAAAAAGACAAGCTAGAGGTGCGTACATCATCAGGAAAGCTGAAGGTAAAGCCACAGAGATCAGTGTAATGTCATAAACTTTAGATTCACTGGTCAGGGCACATGCATCAGGGTCAACTAGGGTGAAGGACAAAGGTCAGAGGAAGGCAAGAGGTCAGAGATCAGAATGAGGCAAATTCAGGCAGTAATACACAGCTGCAGACACCACTCTCACGCTCTATCTCCTCCATCCACCCATGGTCCATCAGGATCCTTCACAGCTCTTTAAGTTTCATGTGAACATCAAGCTCTCCAATTTATTTTAATTGAAAAATCACTAATGAGTCGTTTCGTAAAGGACTAATAAATATCATGATAATACACATTTTCCTTGCTTTTTTAAAATAAAAGAGTTTGATGTAGTATGTAAACATTTCAAATCTTCAAAATCTGTCCATACAGTTCATATAAGAAACTAAGCTGCAAAAACAGCCCGTTTGAAAGTTATTAGTTAATGCACATTCCAAAGTAATTAGCAACCACCAGAGATATCATAGCAACTACCTAGCATCACCCTAGCAACCAACAGAAATATCATAGCAACTATCTAGCAACACCCTAGCACCCAACAGAGATATCATTGCAACCACCTAGCAACACTCTAGCACCCAACAGAGATACCATAGCAACACCCTAGCAATACTCTAGCACCCAGCAGAGATATCATAGCAACACCCCTGCACCCAACAGAGATACCATATCAACCACCTAGCAACACTCTAGCACCCAACAGAGATACCATAGCAACCACCCAGCAACACTGTAGCACCCAACAGAGATACCATAGCAACCACCTAGCAACACCATAGCACCCAGCAGAGATACCATAGCAACCACCTAGCAACACCCTAGCCCCCAACAGAAATATCACAGCAATCACCTAGCAACACCCTAGCACCCAGCAGAGATACCATAGCAACTACCTAGTAACGCCCTAGCAACCTCCGGAAATACCATAGCAACTAACCTAGCAACACCATAGCACCCAGCAGAGATACGATAGCAACCACTAAGCAACACCCTAGCACCCAGCAGAGATATCATAGCAACCACCTAGCAACACCCTAGCAACCAACTGACATACCATAGCAACCACCTAGCAACACCCTAGCAACCTCCAGAGATACTATAGCAACTACCTAGTAACACCCTAGCAACCTCCAGATACCATAGCAACTAACCTAGCAACACCATAGCACCCAGCAGAGATTCGATAGCAACTACCTAGCAACACCCTTGAAGCCAGCAGAGATACCATAGAAATCACCTAGCAACACCCTTGAAGCCAGCAGAGATATCATTGCAACCACCTAGTAACACCCTAGCACCCAGCAGATACCATAGCAACTACCTAGTAACATCCTAGCAACCTCCATAGATACCATAGCACCTAACCTAGCAACACCCTAGCACCCAGCAGAGATATAATAACAACCACCTAGCAACATCCTAGCACCCAGCAGAGATACCATAGCAACCACCTAGCAACACCCTATCAGCCAACTGACATATTATAGCAACCACCTCACAACAACCCAGCAACATCTGAGAACTGCTGAAGCTGCACAATCACATTTTCTTCAGGAAATGCAGTTTTCAAGTTATTTCTGTGACATATATCTGCCTATTCAGCCTACAGCAGTTTAGCCCTGCCCACTCATGCTGGAGAAGGTTTCAGCCCAACCTGCTTTTTGATAAAGCACAATACTGGACAGCCAATCAGAATAAAAAAAGAGCATATTTAATTATAAGCAAAAAAAAGAGGTTAGTTCAATAGTTATGTATAAAAAGAATTTTAGTACATAAACCTGCACAAAAGGACCTCATTGAATGAGCTGTTTTAAAGCTTTAACAATGCCTGCATGTTACGTCAAACTCTTTTGTTTCAAAAAGTGGGGAAAATACGGTTTTCCATGATAAGGTCCCTTTAATAGTTTGAAATGAATGGTCATGCATTTAATTGTTGTAGCTAAAAGCTAAAAGCTAATGGTAAGATAATGTAAGATAAGTCTCTACTGTTTAATGTACTGATAATTTAATGAGATGATTCTATCATTACTACTATTTATGTTATTTTTTATCTATAGTCTAATGAACTGTACTGCTTTTGATACATATATGATTATTATTAGTTACGCTTAGATTAGCTACTACATTATTAATAACATTAATACTAGCTAGACAATTATAAAAAAAAAATAAAAACATAGTAAGACCACTCATATATGGTGTAATATAAGTACTTAAAGGGGAATTTTACGAATCTTAAAAGATTCTGCATTACTCAACCACTGAGATGTAAACAGAGTGATTCAGAGTGGTTTGGTTCGAAACAGTTCAGATTTCTTTACAGTGGTGGTGATAGGAACCAGGGGTCGCCATGACAGCCACACAAATAAAGACATCTTATTTACTATCCAAAACCACCAGTGTGTCTTCTGAGTTCTATATGGAATGTTGATGTTGGTGGTAGGCCTTCTTTTGGGACTATTCTTTTGGGAGCTCTTCTATTGGGACTATTTTGCCTCACAACACCCGTTCACCATGAATAAATTAAAAAATTACTACACTTTAGGCTAAAATCTTCTCAAAACTATTGCAAAACAATGTTTAAGTCCTCAGGCAGTGTATTCATAACCATTTCATGTAATAACATGTTAGCTTTTAGATGTGGACTTAACTGGTTTCTATCACCACCATTGTGGACAATTCTGACTCTGTAAGTTTCTCTAGAACAGAGCATTTCACATTAAACTACTCTGAATGACTCTGCTTATATCTTTAACCATTTAATTATACAGAAATTTGAAAAATCAGTGGATTTCCCATTTAAGATAATCTCTACTGACAGACGTAAAGCAAAAGAAGTGCCAACTCTCACATATGAATATTGTTGTAATTATTTGCCATTATTTGTTTCAGTATCTAGTCTTGCGCATGAGTGAAGGTAGTCATGATAACAGGGATAAAGCTTGAGGGTGGTGTCTGTAGTCTTTTCGTACTCAGGTCTAGGGTCAGGGAAAGGTGAGGTCAGGGCTCAGATCGTTGGCTCCTTGCAGAGGACAATCTCCAGCTCAGTGCGGAAAAGCTTCCCTCCGTCAGACAGCGCCATGATGCTCTGCTTCGAACTGGCCAGACTTTCTGAGTCAAAGTCCTGCTCACACAAACACACACAGCCGTCAACAAGTGTCATTCAGCGTATTAACATAGTGGCCATTTTGTTTATTATGTCACACACAGTGTAATTAGTCAGCTAGGTTAGAGAGCTAGTTATAGTTAAAGGGAAAATACACCAATTGTTCAAATTTCTTTGTGTTGTAGTCATGGCGACCCCTGGTTCCTATCACCACCACTGTAAAGAAATCTAAACCATTTCACACCAAACCACTCTGAATCTCTCTGTTTACGTCTCAATGATTGAATTACATATAAACTTGTAAATCTTGGTGGAATTCCCCTTTAAGTTTACTGACAGTACTAATTAATGCTCGGCTGTATCTCCTTGGATACCACAGAGAAAAAAAAATCCTAATTGAACAGTTTTCTACTTGATGTCTCAAGAATTTAACACTTCTGTTTTCAATCAAAACCTAAAAAAATATTACTACAATACTCACACAGTTTAAATACAAGCATGATTATTCTATTATTATTACATAAAAATAAACAGAAAAAAATCACATGTATGTTTAACATCCCAGAAATCACTGGGCCCTCTCTGAAAGCCTAGAAGGTTTTCGGGGTTCCACACTGCAGTAACCTTAACACTAGCTACATACTTAGAATGTCAAGCTTGTATGCAATGGAAGTACCATTTTGGTGCTATAAAGAACCCTTTTAAAAAAGGTTCTATATAGAACCATCTACAGCACATTCTATGGCCCAATCCCATTTTACCCCTCACCCCTACCACTTAGCCCTACCCCTCCATTTTGCGTGTTCACGTCTAGGGGTAGGGTGTCCCGATTGTTGTTGAGATAAATAAAATAAATAAATGAATAAAAAGAGGGTTAGGGTGAAGTGTTGGGGCTACATGTCCCTCCAAACGGAGGTTTTTCAGAAACACACAAACAGTGTTATGAGAAAAAAAGAAAAACCAGCAAGATGGCTGCACAAGAGACCAAAGAAACCCACAAATGTGAGACTTTTTCTGTTAAAAATTACAGTAACCACTGCATTATCTTAGTTTAATATTCTTTCAATGTATTTTGGTCCTTTTCTTTATTACAAACATAAAAAATCACTAGTAGTAGCTGATGTTTTGGTAGCTAGCTAGCTAAATTTCAAACAAGAAGCTGGCAAATAACTGACTTAAGCTTCATATCACTGAAGAATTAGGGGTGGGCAATAATAAATAATTGCACCTCTTTGAAGGCATATGATGCCCTAAATGTAACTAAAGCAAAGCAGTGAGGTTGCTGAGTTTTACCCTCCTCTGCTATCACTGCAGATTGGCAGGGTCGCCTACAGAACAGCGCTAGTAGTCTGTTAAAGAAGTAATGTTCTTTTTTCATCTGAGGGTCCCATTTCATAGGGAAGATTACAACCATTACCCCATGTAACTCAGTTCCAAGGGGCAAGGTGACACTCAAAAACAAGGCGTAGGGGTAAAAATAAGAAATGGGATTGGGCCAAAATCAATCTGAAGAATCATTTCACCATGCAAAGAATCACTTAACATACTCCTTGAGTGTTCATGGCTCTATCTGTAACCACTGTCTTTATTAAAGAACCCTTCAAGAACCATCTTTATTAAGAGTGTAGATTTATAACAAAAGATTATTTTTAGTAAATGATGATGCTTCAGTCACCATTTTGTGTTTTTGGTAGAGGTCCTTCAGCAGCGCGTCCAGCTCGTGTTCGTCAATGTAGCCATTCCCATCCTAACCGAAAACAACAGAGCTGTAAGTGTTTTTTCTGGAGCCAAATGAAGGCAGACAGTAATACAGAGCTGCTGATACTGAGGTCCTGTTCATATCGGTCATTAATATCAGTCTGAAGTGATCTGATCAGAAGTGTTTAGCTGTTTACATCTGGTTTTACTTTTTATAACAACCTTTATTGAGGAAAATCATTTCAATACAAAGACAAAATATATCAACATTTCTACAATTTACAGTATTATACAATTCAATTAATTACATTCAGAACAATGTGATATGCCTCTCCAGCGTCTCTGGATTTGGTGACTGGAGGACAGGACCCGCCCACATTTACTACATCACTCTCTGTGGTTATCAACACTCTTAAAAAGGGTGGTTCTTTGCATGGTGAACATGTTCTTCAGATTGAGGTAGAATGTGATATACATGGTTCTATATAGAACCTTTTTGTAAAAGGTTCTATAAGGCACCAAAAAGTGTTCTGCTACTGTTATGATGTCAAGCTTGTAACAATAAAAGAACCCTTTTTGATGCACCATTTTCTTTGCTAAAGACCCCTTGAAGAACCATCTTTTTAAGAGTGTAGTGCTTGTCTTTGTAAATGTGTAAGCTGAGACGGTGGTTCGAGTGATCAGATCACAGCGTGTCTCTGAAACACACTGAGCCCCGTTCACCCTTCCTCTCTCTCTCTCTCTCTCTCTCTCTCTCTCTCTCTACCTGTATTGAGAAGAACTCTACTGGTCAGTGTTTCTCACCTTGTCATAGTAAGTGAAGATGGCACTGAACTCATCGGAGGACAATTTGAATCTCTAATAAAGAAAAAAGAGATACCACATGTTCAATTATAGTGTTTATATAAGAGAAAGAGGGGGAGAGAGAGAAAGAGAGAGAGAGGGAGGGGAGGGGGGGGAGGGGGAGGGAGAAAGAGGGAGAGATTGAGAGTGAGACAGAGAGAAAGGAAGAGAGAGAAATGAGAGAAAAAAGAGAGAGAGAGAAACAGAGAGAGAGAAAGATAGCAAGAAAGAGAGAAAGTGACATACAGAGAGCTAGAGAAAGGAAGAGAAATGGAGAGCAGGAGAGAGAGAAAGAATTAGAGAGAGTGGAGAAGGAAAGGAAGATACAAAGAGACAGAGGGAAAGAGAGAGAGCAGGAAAGGGGCAGGAAGAGATAGAGAGAATGAGAGAGAGAAAAAAAAGGAGCGAGAAACAGAAGAAGAAAGAGCAAGAAAGAAAGAAAGAAAGAGACAGAGAGAGAGCGAGAGAAAGGAAGGGAGATGGGGAGAGAGAGGGAGTAAGTGAATGAGAAAGAGGAGAAAGAAAGAAAGACAGAAAGAGAAAGAGTGAGAGAGAGAGAGTAAATGCAAAAGAAAGAGTGAGAGAGAAGAAGAGAAGGAGAACAGATCATGTAAATAAAGTTTCCTCTATCAGGGGATTGAATATCATAACAGTCAGATAATCCTCCTAATCCACTGGATTACAGATGAATTGTACTCGACTGAAGCCGAGGTTCAGAAATGTATCTGTAATCATCATCACTGTCTCAGTAGATCAGACACGTCGCTCACAGATGTTCCTCTTCAGTGAGATAAACACACCGTACACACAGCACTGAAACTAATCTGAAACAGCAATACTGAGACTCTGTTTTGTGCCAGGAAGCATCATAAATAAAGAATCGACAGACTCTCTCAACCTTACAGATCAAACCTGCTTGTTTTACATCTCTGACATCACTGACTACAGTTTAAACTAATTTAATCTGAACCAGAACATTGGAAATGTGAACAGATTCTACAAGGTACAAGGTAGGTGTTTCTTATAAAATGGCCAGTGAGTGTATATACAAGTTAGGTGTTTCTAATAAAATGGCCAATGAGTGTAGCTACAAGGTAGGTGTTTCTGATAAAATGGCCAGTGAACAGATTACGTGAGGGTCCAGGTCCCTCAGGGTCTCTCCTTATGTTTTGTTTATTTATTCCTGACTTGTAGAAACAAGTGTAGAAACTGTGTGAAAAGTGCAGATTCCAAACTTTTAATCCAGACCACATTAGTGACTGTAAACAGAAGAGGATTTTATTATGATTTGAATTATTTAAAAGTTATTATTGTGTTTATATTGCCCTTTTGCAGAAAGAAAAGATGTCCGTTATGTTTCTGTCATCAAAACAAAGAAAAATGAAGCTTCAGTACGGAAGATAAACAGAATGCAAATGTAATCATGTTACTAACAATGTCATAAATTAAAATGAATAATGTAATTATTTCCAATTAATTGTGTAATGAAAATGGAACATATAGTAAAATAACAGCACTAACTAACCTCACTAACCTCTACTGTTAAAATATTATATTTATATATTATTTGTTCCTGCTGAATGAGAGAAAGAGAGAGAGAAAAGGAAAGAAAGAGAGAGACAGAGAGAAAGATGGCAAAGAAAGGAAAACAGAGCAAAAGAGAGTGAGAGAGAAAGAGAGATTAGAGGAGAGAGAATGAGAGATAGACAAAGAAAAAAGAGATGGAGAAGGAGAGAGTGATGTTTGATATTATTTGTCTTTCCAATAAAACACCTTGAACTGAAGTGAATTGAACAGAAGGCACGACAGAGAGAGCAATAGAGAGAGAAATGGAGAGAGAGAAATAGAGGGAGAAAAAAAGGGAAAGAAATAAAGTGTAGAAAAGGGTGAAGCTGCTGTTTCTGTGGCTCTGAGATTAATCTATAGAGATTACCATAACACACACACATAGACAGTAATCTGTATCAGTCCACTGCAGCTCTGTCCATCACCGCTGCATTGCTTTGTGCTGTATGTGGGTTTGTATTTTAGGATACTGTGTGTGTGTGTGTGTGTATATATATATATATATATATATATATATATATATATATATATATATATATATATGCATGTGTGAGTGTGTACCATGTTTTATGGGGGACCAAATCTGTTCATACACTCACACTGTGAGGACCAGAAATATTTAGAGATTACATTTTGAAATTAAGGTAAGGGTCAGGTTATGGTGAGGGTAGTAGTAGGTCTGGTTAGGGTTTGGGTAAGTCTACAGGAAATAAAGAGAAGTCTAGGTAAAGGCTCCACAATTCACAGAAACAAGGTGTGTGTGTGTGCTGCACGGCTCTGTGTGGTTTAATACTGATGTTTCTTTATAAAGTAATAAAAGATTATGAGAGATTACCTGAAACTTCAGCAGAAAGTTCTCCTGCACTGGAAGCAGCCTGAGGGCAGAGACAGAGACTTTTAATACACATACATACATACACACACTTCCACACACACACACACACACACACACACACACACACACACACATAGTGGTCTTGGTAGGATTTTTATCAACTGTGTACACTTTTTGGCCACTATATCAGAAACCCTGCTCCTGTAGCTCCATGTTGCCATCATTTTATGCACAGGGGTGCCCAAACATTTTATCCTGGGGGGTGTAATGTCTGCAGGCCGAGGACCAAAAAGAAGGTTGGTTTTAACTCAAACATTACATTTTGTAACTAAAATACTATATTTTAAAAGAAAAAAAGTTATTTATAGTGTAAAATATGCTTTTCCTCTTATTGGGTGAGCAAGCAAGATTACGGTAACTTTCCGGCTCTGCCAAATCAATCATCCTCACCGGTGCACTTTGGCCCAGAAGTCCGTCATTGATGGTCAGATTTTGACCACAGAGCCGCTCATGTTTGGATATTTTTGGGTGGTGGTCCACTTTCAACCCAGCAGTGTCAGTGTCACTGCTGTGCTGAGAGTGGACCACCACCCAAATAACATCTGGACAACAGCAGGCCTGTGGTTAGAAAATCACCAATGATGAATGGAGTAGATGGGGCTGACAAACTGCAATTTCTGATAAAATGGCCAATGAGTGAAAGTACAAGGTAGGTGTTTCTAAAAAAGAGGCCAGTGAGTGGAAGCACAAGGTAGGTGTTTCTAATAAAGTGGTCACCAGGTAAAAGCAGAATGTGTGTTTCTGATAAAAAGGCCAACGAGCATAGCTACAAGGTAGGTGTTTCTGATAAAACGGCCAGTGAGTGTAGCAAGAGGTAGTGAAGGTAATAAACTGGCCATTTGCGAAGTACACAGATTGTTACTCTTCGTGCTTTTTCAGCTCACCTGGCCATCTCAGATAGTCCGAGTTTTCCATCTCCATTCAGGTCAAACATCTTCAGCTGTGTAAACAACGCAACTCAGAATTACTTTATGAGGATCAAAATTCACAATAAAAGGAACAGGAAAAGAACAAAACCTGATGTTGTAGAGAAATTTGGCAGGTCCACAGGTGGAAAAACAAGACTGTCAAGGTGTCTTTGAATGCAGCACTAAAAGGAACCACTCTGCTGCATCTGTAGTGTACACACAGTCAATTATTATGGACAGTAATGTTCCTCTGCGAAGAAAAGTACAGAAAACCTGTTGACTTGATAAACCCTTATAACAGAAGCCAGTGGGCAGGTGATGAGGCCCTCTGACTGCCCATTGGTTTTTATAATAATCATGTTTTGAGTTGTTTAGCACAGGGAGAAAACTGTCCATGGTAACTGACTGTACACTACAGATGCAGCAGATACAGATTAGGCTGAAAAACTAGCCAAGATAATTAATTTTGGTTAAGGCTGTTGTTTAGTTTAGATGTATTTAATGAATAGTTCAATGAAACTATATAAAGACAATATCAAATGTGCTTTTGGTTTATTCTGTTTGGTGTGTACTTTAGTCACTCACTATAGTGTGTGTGTACTCATTCAGCTTCTTGTCGTCATAGCTTCTGTTCGCTTTTTCCAGCAGATCAGAGAGAAAACCCTGAAGAAAGATAACACAAGTCTTTATTCAAATGTATTCATTTATTACTTCTATAGTCAAAAGTTTGGAATCACTTGCAATGATGCAATCATGCTGGGTTTAAACAGAGCATCCCAAAAAAATGCAGAATAACCCAACATTTTAAGGACTTTAAGTATTTCAGCCTCTACAATGCATAATAAAATTAACAGTGTCAGGGAACCTGGAGAAAACCCTGTGCGTAAAGAGGAAGGCTGAAAACCACAACAGAATGGCTGTAACCTTCGACCCCTCGGACGGCACTGCATTACAAACCAGCATGTTTCTGTGATGGATATCACTGCATGGGCTCAGGAATACTTTGACAAAACATTATCAATAAGCACCATCTGTCTCTGTATCCACAAATGAACATTAAGACTGTACTATGCTCAGTGAAAGTCACACATCAAGAATGTCCAGAAACACAGTCGACTTCTCTGGGCTCGAGCTCATCTCTATTGGACTGATACAGAGTAGAAATGTGTATAGAGATCTGATGATACATTTCGGATTATTATTATTGTAAAGTTCAAAATCCAGTGTGTGTCATGGTATGGGGCTGTATTAGTGGATAACCTGCACATTTGTGAAAGCATCATCAACACTGAAAGGCAGCAGGGGTGCCCAATCCTGGGCCTGGAGATCTACCAGCCTGCAGAGTTTAGCTCCAACCCTGAGCTAACACACCGGGTCCAATTAATGAAGACCTTCAGGAACTTCTGAATACGAGAGCCAGGTGTGTGTTGGATCTGAACTCTCCAGGGTGGTAGATCTCAAGGTCCAGGACTGAGCACCCCTGCTGAAAGGGATATACACATTTTACCCTACAGATCCTACAGATGAGTGTGGGTGCTAGACTGGCAGTTAATACTCACATTGAAAATGTGTGGCACATTATGAAACACAAAATACAACAACAAAGTCTCTGTACAGTGGCGTGGCTGAAAACTTCAGTCTTCACGTGATTATTAAGTGTTGGTAAAAGGAAAGGTGATGTAATACAAAGGTAAACATGCTGCTGTCCCAATTGTTTTTGGAATTGGTTTGTAGAATAATCTTATACATTTAACTAAATGAAACTAAAAGTTTTGGAAACAGTGATTCTAAACTTTGGAACAGCAGTTTAAATAATATTAGTTTTGGTTTTACCTTCAGTTCGTTGGACTCGATGTATCCGCTGCGGTCAGTGTCGTATTTTCTCCATGCCTGTGAATTTAAACACTCATATTAGATTGAACATTTTTGGCAGTTGTCTATTTTGTTGTCTTTCCTGAGTGAAAAACTACCGTTTCTCTCGCTGAAAGCAGATTTATGGCTTAGCATATGGTGCTGTGCTTTCTGTTACTGTTTTTATATCTTCACTATGCTGGAAAAATAAAAGGACAATAAAAGACGAGGCTGAGTTCTGTCGCCTTCTTGCTTGATTTACAAAACCCAGCAGGCTGTTTGTGAACAAATGCTCTTTGCAAGGACGTCCTGGTAACCTGACCACGAGGAAACTGCATCTGTTAACTATATTTATGACAACATAACACTGAAAATCAGTAAACAACCCAGTTTTGGATCCTCAAATGTGCTGGTATTTAGTATATGCTATTCATTTAGTACTTCAAAAGATATCATCTATGCAACAATGCTCATACAAATGGCCATATTACTCTGCAATACACTGTAAATAACAGAGGATTATATGAATCCTGCACATATGTACATATTCACATATTTATGTCTGGCTAAAGGGAATACCACAGATTTTTTTTACAATTTTTGTCTGATTTGTTCATTAGGATGTAAACAAAGGCATCCATTTCATGATAGTTTAAAAAAGGCATTTTTAAAAAACCCATTCATGGTGGAGGCATACATGCCAATGGTCAAGAGGGGACAAAGGGGGGCCAAGTGGGGCACAGCCACACTGACACAATCGCCCTTTCTCCCCAGTGCCCCCCACCCCCCTGGGCTGTCAATGAATATTCTAAGTTTGATTATATAATTGAAATGTATAAAAAAAACTCAAAACTTTGAGTTAAAGTTGTATGCAAGCTATGTAAGCTAAAGTAAGCCTACCATTCCAGCACTCGCAACCTGAGGGCACATCTGAAAAATATGCACCCAAATGCATCCGATTCAGTTCCTCCTCAAATTCATGTTCGCCTTGATAAATCACAGCGAGCAATCACGCAGCACTGAAACGGTGGAAAAGGAAACAGGTGAAAAAGTCTGATGCCTCAATTTAATAATCAAATCTGCAGCAAAAAGAAAGATGTACACCTTTCTTGATTGTTTTTTTTTACTTTCCGCAGTATTGTTTGGTGCTGGTTTCTGCTCAGTCAATGCGGCTCCTGGGGACGTGAAGGGGAATGTGAATTTGAGCAGGAACTGAATCTGATGGGACACTCTTGTTGTATGAGTTTGCTCTCTTATGGATATAATGCATAAAAACAGACACTCAAATGTTTCAAACGTCTGTTTTTTTAAGAGGGATTAATCAAATGTCATTTTTGGCCAATGTTGACAGCTCTAATGCATGTCAGATAATTAGTAACATTAACTGTAAAATAAGAAACCAAAGTATATCAGTATGCAATTCCTTAACTCTTATATTGAGACAGCTTTCAACTAGTCTGTATATTACAACATAAGAGAATTCCCAAAATGTATAGCTTTTGGTTTTAATGTGCCTCACCCCAAGATTTTCAGTGGCCCCATCTGGCCACCACAGGTGTCATTGATACAAGCAGGGTGTACTGAGGCAAAGTAGTCTCCACAAAAAACTGGTTATTTCAGATTTTCCATTGTTTTCTCATCTTCGACATTCCAAATAAAAGCTCAGAAGACACATGTAGGTTCACTGGTGGTTTTGGATAGTAAAATGTCTATATTTGTGTTGTAGTCATGCCGACCCCTAGTTCCTATCACCACCTCTATAAAGAAATCTGAGAACCGCTTTACAACAAACCTCTCTGAATGACTTTACATCTCAAAGGCTTAATTAAGCAGGACTTTTGAAAAAATAGTGGAATTTCCCTTTGAAAGTCTTGCATCCTTTTCTTGTACATTACATGCAAAAATTACAGTGTAAGTCAGACTAATAGGAGACAGCAATCATTGCACCATGACGAATGCTCAAAATGACAATGACAATACAAACAGATGCTGAGCGACAAGAGCACTAGTGGTATTTACTCATGACTGTTAAATTTAATTGGCTCCTGCCACTGCCACAGAAAAAAACAGTCTACAAAACAAATAAACAAATAAACTACAAATAAACTGTGCCAAAGCTTTCAGCGATGAATTAGCCAGATTCTGCATGTTTTATCCTCTTCCTGTACGCTGTCCAGATGTTCAGCATAGAGAGCATATTTTGTTGCGTTGTATTATTTACAGAGTCACCATGTTTTACTCCTCTCACAGATACATGTACAGCTGCTCTGAAAGCTGCAGGCCATTAATAATGAACGATATTCTGCAAATAGAACTCTTACCCACATTTACAGACTTCCACAGCCCCAGTGATTATGACATATCCCCTTACCAAAATCACACAGTCATTATTTAAAAAAAAAAAAATTGTTAATCTGGGAATATATTGAAATATGCATATTAAAGGGGAAGTCCATCAATTTTAACACAAAATACTGTATAATTAAATGGTTAAGATGTAAACAGAGTTATTCAGAGTGGTTTGGTGTGAAATACTCCGTTCTAGAGAAACCTACCGAGTAGAATTGTTTACAGTGGTGGTGACAGGAACCAGACGTCCACTTCTCAAAGCTCCCTCACAGAAAATGATTACATGAAAGGTAATAAATACACTGCCTGATGACTGAGACACTGTTTTATGATGGTCTTGAGAAGGTTTTGGGCAAAAAGTACATGCAAGGTGTTGTGAGGCAAAATAGTCCTCACATAGCACTCAGACTTGTGTAGGTTCACTGTAAAGACATCTGAACCATTTCATCAAACCGTTCTGAATCACTCTGTTTACATCTAAAACACTGAATTATGCAGAAATTGAAAAAGTTGCCCTTTAAATAATCATAACGTGTTTTAATGTGTGTCCTACCGACATGAACTCCGCACTGGACCCCACAAACTGTCGGAAACACAGCAGGAAGTTCTCCTCTGTAGGCAGGATCTGAGCCAGCTGAGAAGGACAGAGAAAGAGAAAGAGAGAGAGAGAGAGAGAGAGAGAAAGGGAGAGGGAGAGAGGGAGAGAGAGACAGAGAGAGAGAGAGAGAGAGAGAGAGAGAGAGAGAGAGCGAGAGAGAGAGAGATTTAGTGAAAACTGATTTATACCAACCAAATATCAAAATTTAAATACTTTTAATGCTTCAGTTCTAACTGTAGTATGTTTTTATTAAACATATAGGTAAAAAATAACAGCAATAAACTGAACATGTGGGAAAACTGACATTTTTCTTTTCTTCCTTTCTTACATACAGTTGTGTGCGAAAGTTTGCACACCCTAAACTCCATGTACTGTTGATTTTCTGTAAGTGTAAATAAGTTAACACTTCTTCTACAGAGAACACACTGCACATTTTAATGTGTAATTACTGTTTATTTGCTGAATTTAACATTATTGGAGGAAAATTAAAACGTAAAATGTGGCTTGTGGAAAAGCACATTTTATATTTTAAGTTTTTTTTTAATATGTTAAAAAGAAATTGTGTGCTGAAATTTGCAGAAAAATGTCATATTGTCAAAATAGATCTATGTAGAGGATGTGTTAACACATTTTAACATAGAAAATCAACAAAACATAGAATTTGACCCAGAGTGCCAAACTTTTGCATACGAATATACATACATACACCTGTAAAATAACAGGTTATAAAAGAATAGACAATAGACAATGTCTGGAACATTGTTTAAGGTTTTAAGGAGGCTTATAAATACTGTATCTAATGTTAAACTGCAAAAAATGCAAATAGCTGTGAATGTAAGGATTTTCACTGTAGTTGCATCTACATTAACAGAAGCATGCTGGCTGGCGTTCGACATGCAACTTTGCACCTAAACTTATTATCATATTGTTATTGTTACAGGATATTATTCACTAAACACAAACACAAGCAGAAATACTATAAAACAGTCATGTTGTGCTGCGGAGTGCACCACAACCTCTTTCTCCAAGCCCACCAAAACCTCTCCATAGCTGCTGGAGTGTGTAAAGGGATTTCAGCACCTTGGACAGAAGCACTTGGAGCCCTTACAGCTCTCAGCTACAGTCCAGTTCACCCCAATCTCTGCCTACTCAACCCAGAACAGCACCTTCAGCCTTAAGCCTCCACACTGGATTAGGACCTGCAGGCCCCGAGTGCTGGACAGGGATGAGAGGCGCTGCGTTATCCGTTCCGTTTTTGGCAGAGAGCCCCCAGCACCGGACCACTGAAGAGACACTAAAACCTTCCCAGACCCCCCCAGTCCCGAACGTCCACAAAGCTCCGCAGCCATCTGTCCACTTAAACCGGCCACTTTCACAGCTTTTACTGAGACATACAAAGTTCTTCCTTTAGGCCAAGCTTGCCAGTGCTTGAGAAGATGGTCTAATAAACCTCTGAGGACGCCATTAGCATTCGAGCGAGGCCTGTGTGAAGCTGTTTTTCTCTACGGGACAATGAATACACTTTTGGAAAATCAATGCTGTTGTAAACCTGTAAAGACTGGCAACCTCACCAAAACAGCCCACACAAGCTTTGTCCAGTGTGATGGTTAAATGGCTTTAGCAGTTTTCTAATATAATAAACAAACAACAGTTTCTTATTAGGTTGAATGAATAACTGGCTCTAAATGTAGGTATTGTGATATGAACTGAGTCTGTTCTACAGTTTCTCATTAGGTTGAATGAATAACTGGCTTTAAATGTAGGTATTGTGATATAAACTGAGTCTGTTCTACAGTTTCTCATTAGGTTGAATGAATAACTGGCTTTAAATGTAGGTATTGTGATATAAACTGAGTCTGTTCTACAGTTTCTCATTAGGTTGAATGAATAACTGGCTCTAAATGTAGGTATTGTGATATAAACTGAGTCTGTCAACATTCCATCTAAAACTCAGAAGACACACGTACATTTACTGGTGGTTTTGGATAGTAAATAAAATGTCTATATTTGTGTTGTAGTCATGGTGACCCCTGGTTCCTATCACCACCACTTTAAAGAAATCTGAGAACTGCTTCACAACAAACCACTCAGAATGACTTTGTTGACATCTCAACTACTTAATTATGCTGACATTTTGTAAAATCGGTGGAATTTCCCTTTAATGTCTCTACAACCAGTCAACATGCTGCTTCTTTAGGTAAATTCGAGAATAAATCCAACCTCTTACATAACACAGGACATGCAGTCAGGTCAGACAGATGTGTGTATCTGCTTTAGGTTTACATTTTCTCTAAACCAGGTCACTGTGTGATGCTCTAGTTTATCCCCCTCCTCCCACTTCATGTAGCATAATGCAAAAAAAGCACAGAACAAAAACTTGCAATATAAATATATCACACTTAAAGAAGGTTAACGAACAGGTCAGGCGCATAAAAGCATCGGCCTTTAATTCCAAACTCTCGTGTAGGAGAGTCCATATGGATTGCAGCACAATCACATTAATAGTCCGTTTGTAATGTACAAATATAATCTGCACAAAATCTGTCACAAACCCGTCACATAGGGCTCTGACACTAATCCTCTGAATGTGACAGTATTTCCCTCCATTCCCTATTTTCATGAGTGGAAACATGAATGCAAACCAAGAAAAGGTGTCAAATGAAGTAAAGCAAAAGGCTTGTTTAAGAACAAAGTTGTCTCTCCTAGGACATCCCTGGGCACCCTGAGGGCAAATCAAACTGCAAGAACGGCTTGGAAGTAGACCAGTATTTGGTAATTCGGTATGTAACAATATTAAACATGCACAGTAACGTTATTGTGGACCCTTTGAAGTACAGTCACTGCATTTTGGTGAAACTGCTTTCACAAGCTCACAAGCTGATCACATGATACTGTTCCTCATCTGAGTGGAGATTGTGAACAATTACAAAGAAAGCAGCCACAGCACAGCAGAAGGGGGAGCAAATAGAAAACAAAAGGTGAAAACTCTTGGCACACCCAGCTTGGAGAAGAAAAAAAACACTCAATCTCAAAAACACACACATGTTCACAGTCACAAACTTCATGCAAATGAAGTCAAAGGCATGAAAACACACTGAACTTAACCGTACTTAATAAATTTTATTTAACAAGCAGTTATGGGCTAACAGGGTAATCGAATAATGTTCAGAGTTCGGATTTAAGTTGAAATATTCCCTGTTACAAGCTTTGTTTGTCCAAAGTCCATGTGTGGGCTTGAGCCGTGTAGTAGTGAAACCAGTGGGGGAAAAGCCCTGTCAGCTTGAAGCTAACGTCTCATATACATGCTATGAATCTATGGTTCATTCTCAAATCCAGTCCTGACTGCTAATAGTCCCCAGTGTGTGAAATACCCCTGGCATTCAGGGGGGTCCCACGTTGGCTGGCTACTCCAGCATTGGCTAACTGCTAACTTACTTGCCATAGTGGCACTGATGCTTCAGTAGTTCGTTAAGAAAACCAAAGACAGAAGCTGATTGTGGGGGAAGCAGCTAAACAATGAGCTTTCACTATGTTACCCATATTACATATTACCCATAGTTTCACTATGTCACTATTTTACCCAAAAGGACAACATCATGTAATAGATTAATTTTCAGGGACCCTTTTCAGGGGTTCAAGAGGTTAATTAGGGGGTTCCACACACACACACACACACACACACACATACACACACACACACACACACACATTATCTAAGCCGCTTATCCTCTTGGGTCAGAAGGCAGGAAACTCATTGGACAGTTTGCCAGTCCATCACAGATATTGCATACATATACTGCTATTTAAAAAAGAAATTCATATCTTTTTGGCATTAAAAAAATGTTTTTAATGCAACATTTTTAATTAAACAGCTGAATTAGTGCTGAGCAGTATTGATAATCATTATCTCTTCAGTTTCCAAATATATCACAGTATCAAGTGATGTTTATATTAATGAACACATTCTTCTTGAATGCTGCTACTCTGTGCAAAAGGAATGTCTATAAACCTGACAGAGCTTGTATTTATTACTAAAGAGAAGGAAAATGTATTTACAGAAAGCTTACAGAAAATGTAGTTTTTGTTATTTAATGTACTTTCAGTGCATACAGTGCATATATCCACTTCAACCTTATACATATGAAAGTGATAGGGAAAAAAGTCAACATCAATATGCTTAGAACAGAGTAAAGGTAAAAGAGGAAGAGGATGACCAGCAACACGATGGATGGAAAAAGTCGGAGGAATCATTTACCTGCCATGCAGAAGCCTGGAGACCCAAACAGAAGACAGAACATTCTGGGGGAAAACTGTCCATATGTCACTACGAGACAGACCCGATTAAATGGTGCTTAATAATAACAATACTTTTCAAAGCATGTTTTTTGAGCTTTCCCTATGAAGATTTTTCAGTGCTTTACAATATTTTCAGGCTCTGAATGAGTATTAAACACTGCCATAGTGCTCAGACCCACTGCTACCTTCCTAAAAACTCCAGTGAGGCTCTTTAAATTTATCTCTATGTCCAAGACAAGCTTCGTCTAGAGAGGGACCAATACGATAAAAACAAAACTGGCTTATCTCAGGTTTCAGCTTTAAGAGTTGGAGCTTATGCTCAGTACTTTAGGTCATAGTTTATCGCTTTATAAAGTGTTTGAGAAAGAGTCAGAATAAGCTGCCTTTCCACAGCTAGCTTTGAAGATAAGATCTTTCTGACTGGAACACTTGAGCTCAATCTCAGGATTAAAGAGGAGAGTTTTAAAGTGTGTGCTGGAAGCAAAATGAACACCTGAGTTTACGTTCAACTCCTCAGTCTGAGGAACATAAAGCCAGTTTACCCTTCCATTAATGACTTAACGACTGATGATTAGAGCATTGTGATTTCTGTAACCCGTAGAAGTCCGGAGTTTTTTCCTAAACATTCAACATTTATGATTATTAATTTATATGTGTGGGGGGACATAGTAGTTGTACATGGGGTGATTCATCCATCCATCATCTAAACCGCTTATCCTTCTGGGTCACGGTGGGGTGCT